CTTTTGAAGAACGGTTTAAAAAATGTTTCTTAATGCTAGAACTACGAAGGACTGAAGCATAAAATTTTGATTAGAGATATTAAAGTGAAAAAAATAGAGATACAATGGAATACACAAACTTTTATTCGTGTGTTTTATAAAAAATCATTTAAGCTTCTAAAAATAAACGCTATTTTGCATCTGTGATATATCTAAAAAAACATTATGAATTAGTCATTTTGACCACTCGGTAGTTCTAGCGTTAATCATCGCGCGTGTTAACAGCGACTTTATGGTTCTGGACGCGTGGATATTACGTAATTTTCGTATTAGGTTTCACTAACATTTAATTTACCATAGTTGTCGCATAGTGTGAGTCTAAATAATCAAATGATAAAAACTAATTGTTAACATTGTTCGAAATATAAACATTACGTAATATAGACATCCAGAACCATAAAGCCGCTGTTAGCAAGCACGCGTCCGCAGTGTTGAATGATTAAGAAACTTCTTTGCCATTTTTCAAAAGAATTTTAGGTCGCGAGCCATGGTTCCTTGAAGAGATTTTACCTTCGTGATCAGTAGAATACAACGCAAAAAAAAAAAACTAATTCGTTCGTATTGGGCTCGTAGGAATTTTATTCGATCTGTTATTGTACTGTCGCCTCGCGAAGTTGGTTTTCCTGTGTTATTATAATAGCCTAATTTTGTTTTTACTTGTAACCACTTTCGATCGATTTATATTTAGAGAAACTAGTTTGTAGTGTTTACAAGCCCGTAATGAATTATTACTTGGCGGATGGAATAATGTCCAAAAGTCAATATTAAAATCAAAATTAATAACTACCAAAAATCTTCTGCAATTGTTGAGTTGAACAAAGATTCACTTACCGTGCCTTTCATTCTCATCACCGTCCTGCGTTCAACAGAACCTCCTCCTTCTTCTCATCACTACACGTTCGCAGACTCGACAAACAATCGACGAACGCTTGATCACCAGTGTCCAAACGTCTCCAAACAAAGAGTTTCCCGAGACGCACCCCGTGTCCAATATTCGTTTTTATCAGCACGCTCTTTACATTACGCATTTGCTCCGCGGCTTCTTCTTTCCAATCCAATTCGCGTCGCGCTGTCTCAGCTCGCCGACGAATGCGAACGATTGGCAGGAATCCCCGATTCCGCCGGCACAACAAAGGACTACCAGCCACCACCGTGAATGCTAATCATCGCCCCAGTCTTCAATCTCCGGATGTCTTTTCAACGGGTGGCTGCCACCCGCGCGAATCAAATCCCGTGACCTAGGAGAAAATACACTTCGCCTCCTTCGTCCCTTTTTCCTCGCTCGCAATTTCTAATCAGAAGGCGAACGACGTCGGATCAAGGGTGCGAAACCGTTGGACAGAGGGAAAGAACAAGGGAGGGGGGGAGTGAAACTTCGATGCGAAGCGCCGATTTCTATTGTCGACGAGGGACAAAGGTTGCAAAATCCCGGACAAAGGCTGCTGAACGTGGTCACGGTATCGTCGGTCGCATTGTTCCGCAGACGCAGATTAAATGAAATAGAGCCGGAGTTACGCGATCGTGAGCTTCCTCGGCGCGAACTTTGTTCGCACGGTTCGCCGCGAATCGGCACAATCTAATCCGGCGGCGATGACGCTTTCGAAGGCCCGGTCCGAAGGCTAAAAACGCGAATTTGTGCGACCGAAATTTTGTATGTTATTGGCCCGCGAAGTTTCCTGATTATTGTTATCGATCGAACCCTCAGCGATGTAATATACAACGGTTTGAAAAAATTCAAACGTGTGTGAAAACGCTGAAAACAGATTTTTTCTTCACGACTAAATCTAATCTATCATTGTCTCGAAGACTGAAATTTAATTTTATTGAGTTGGGGTTTCTTGAATTGTTGCGTTCAATAAAATGGTGAAAAAAAAAAATCGTACAACCTTTGAGGGATCGTTGCAAAGGAGAGGTTCCAATCTTCAAAATGATGGTAGATCTAGCTATGGAAAAAATTTCTCGAATATATTTTTATACACTTTACTTGATATATCAAGTCGTCAAGTTCGGAGAAAAGCGAACTGTAAAAGTTTCGAAAATGATCGTCACACGATTGTTTTCTACGAAGCTATATTAATTTAAACTTTTCATTGACACTGTTACATTGTGCTCTTCACTGTAAAGTAATATACTAATATTGTTGTATATTAATTCATCTTATACTGTCATAGACAAACCAACACTCTCGCACCAGAGTCTCTGTATAAATAAAATTCGATATTAACGTTCCCAGAAGCAACCGCGATAACCAAGAGAAACTTTGTTACCCCCGCTGTTAAAAATGTCTATACCTTCCTCCTCGTTATTCTTCATCTCGCGATAACTCGCGGCACGAAGAACGGAAAAGAAAAGGAAAGAAAAAGAAAGAGAGAAAGGCGGGAGAGTAGACGATAACGATGTATATCGGAGAAAATCGCAGTTCGCGGATATGTCGGTCGCGATTTAGAACACGGGGGGAGGGGGGAGGGGACCGCGGAACGCGATTAAAAGTGGTGCACGAGCGTGCACTTGCGGCAACGAGAGTGAGAGGAGGCATGAATTATTCGAAATCGCGCCGCGTAGATCGCAGCGTGCCGATGAGCGATAAAAGGGCGCGAGCAAGAGCGCCTTTTATCGGGCGAACGTTATTAATCCGGTTTACAAGACGTTAACGACGATGCCGCGTCTCCCCTAATTATCCCTTTCAATGGGAAACGCGTCGAGCAACGGCGTCGTGCTGCGTGTCTGGAACAATTAAGACGCGACTCACCCCTCCTCACCTCCTCCATCCGTCGCACGTTCGCTCGCGATGCTCGCGTCGCAGTCAACGCGGGACGAACTCGACGGAATAATTTCGCAAGTTCCGACGCGTTATACACCTGACAGCTCCGTGCTCGTCCGTCTTCCACCTTTTCTTTTTTTTTTTTTTTTTTTCTCCAACCCCCGGTAGTAATAAATCAGCTTTCCCTCGGCGCTGGGAAACTTCCTTATCAAGCCTCCGCGCGATGGAAACATCCGCGTCGGATCTTTGTCAATTCTTCTCCCTCTTATGTTCCCCTCCCCACTCTCCGAATTTTCGCCCTTAACCGTATCGCAAAGTTCCCTGCGTGCTGGCGAGTTGTCTGTACCAAAAAGTCCAAGAATGAAATTACAAAAGCACGCAAGTGTGTCACGCGAGGGGCGAGGGTGATACGACGTTGACGCTGTAATTTCGTCCTGACCGCCGACTCTTCGTCGTTGTTTAAATAAATTCGAACGCAACGCCAGCACTCACTCGAGCCTGTCGATTCCTCCACCGTGAATATTAATTAGTTCCCAATCTGTTACGAAGCAGGCCGTACAGACTACTTTCCCTGTCTTTCTTTAATTTTAGTAGTTACAGCAAAGAAAACAATTTATTGTATATGTGTATTGTAGAGTGGGTCACCACATATTGTTATCTAGATTTTTTTTTTACGTCATTATTAACCGCGTAGCGAAGAATGTTTCAGATGTTGGTCTGGAAATCGTGACCCCTTTGTTAATGTTGTAATGATTTTGTTTACAGAAAAAGTTTCAATATGACGATCATTTACATCACATTTTCTGAATCGATAGATTAATAATTCACTCGCATGTAATGTATTTGGTGTCATTTTATTACACTCAGTGATGATATGATCTCTCATATTGGCCATTGTTGTCGGAGGCTCAGCGCGCACCTTATTTCCTAACAACATTAATATTAAAATATCTCCGAAACTAATGATTTTTTCAACATAAATATTTGTAAAAAAATATCGAGGTGCATCAAAAATATATGATTCCATTTGAAAAAAAAACGTCAATGACCTTTATATGACCTACAGGTCCACCTAGAAGAAAACTAGTACCATCAAAATGTGCCCCTCTCGAAACCATTCAACTTCATTTGAAACATTTTTCGTTACGCGTAATATAATAATGACGTAAATAATAATGACGTAAATCTAGATGGCAATATGTGGTGACCCACTCTGTATATATACAGTTAAGTTACCGCACTTTTCGCCAGTGAAGCACCAACTCTTGTAATTGGGACTATCCCCACTCCACGCTCACTCCCTCTCTTCCCTTCGATGCCAGAATACACCTTCCCACAAACATTCGCTTGGGGATTACTATATGTATATATACGCGAGTGTACGGCCGCGACATTCTCAATGCAGTGGAGGGGATAGCACTAGAGTAGAGGCAAGAGTCGCCAGCTAGCCACCTCTGCAATAAGCTAATTGCAAGCTTGAAGCACTCGAGATCGAGCAGCAGCTCCAAAAGCTCTAAATTTGTGTATACAAAATGTCAACCCTGCGTATTTGCGTTCCTTTCTCCCTCGATGTGCTTTCGAAGTTCCCCCATGCTTGAAGGAACGTCCGTCGAGGTGAACGTGGCGGTGCAACTTCACGAACCTTCGGTTCATTAATCGAACGACAGGTGTTACGACGGCTCGTGGTTCCACAACACTATGGCAAGTTTCGTCGCTCTTCGGGGAGTTTGGAACACTCCTCGATTGTGATTGTTCCACGCTGTTCCTAAAAGAGCGAGTCGAAAGGTGGGGGGGGGGGGGAGGTGCAGGGAGAAGAACAGGTAGAACGCGATGGAAAATAAATTCGTTGATTGGTCGAAGTTTTCGAAACATAAAAAGGAACATGGGACATACAGAGGAAGCGGGGAAAATTTTTTTTCGTGAGACGCGTGTCTTTTAATTCTCGCGGTGGACAAACAACAGGTTCCTCGGGACAAACGTTAAAAGCTTGCGCGAACAGACAGGAGAATTTCGCTTGTACACCCTCGGGGGAAGGGGGGAGAGGGAGTATAGATTATAAAACGGCGAGCAAAACGGATGAAACGGAACGAGTTTCGTTATTTTTCTTCTTTTCTTTTTTTCGGCGACCGCTCGCGTTAGAAACTGAATTCCCCTGTCTCTTCCCGCTCTGTTCACTTAACAAACACGTACGCGCGCTTCCTTTTTTTCCACTATGTTTCCATTTATTTTGTATATGACGGCAGTACGATCTGCTGCGTCTCTTCTTGTAACAAGAAAAAGAAAAGAAAAAAATAAAAGGAATAAAAGACGAAAAATATTAATACTTCCTCTTTGTCGTCATACTGTAACTAGAAAAGTCGCTCGTGTAGTTACAACTGGACACGCTTCCGTTACACGAGAAAAGAAAACGAACGGACGAACAATCAAAGAGAAGAGAGAAGACAAAACTGAGAGAAAACTCACGCCGCTGCTTTCTTTCTCGCCGTTTCTACGAGTCTCGCGTGTTTCCTTGTTTCTAAAAAAAAAAAAATCACTGCCCATTAAGTTACGCTGGCCGCAACCTTAAAATCTTAAGTAACAATTTTTTGAATACCTTTTTTTCTCTCGCGCACCGTTCTCTCCTTCTCTTTCTCACTCTCACTCTCACTCTCGCTTCTAAATTCGATTCATTCGCTCCTCCTCCGTCCAGTGCCCGATTGTCCGAATTGTATCTGTATAATGTAACAAGTACGTGATACAAAAGTCCAAGCTCAATTTTGATCGGTACAGCAAATCCGTCATGATGATTCGTCGCAACGAAACGAGCACCATCGATCGCGATACGAAAGAGAAAGTGCACCTAGGAATCCGCGAGTCTCCTTGATAAAACTTGATTATCGTCGCGCGCCGGTCTGATTGTACTTGTTCGTTCTCTCTACCGATCCGCTCGCGGCACGCGGGATAAGTACACGAGTGGAAGGGCACAACGCCGCCGGAAATCCGCCGAATAAAATGGAATACGAATGTGCCCTCGATTCGCAAACGTGGGTACGCGCATTTCGATCGCGAAACACGCTCTGCTTCTGGCTACGTTCTACGGCTACGCTCATTGTATTGTCGCTGTGATAAATAAAGCACCGTCACGGTCCGATCGTCGGTTCGACGAGGCTCGATCTTACCGTACGCCCCGTCTTCTTCTTCGATCGCTTCACTCGAGGTGAAATTAAGTACTAATGCGTCGACCGCGTAGATTCTCGTACAAACACGCGAAAGACGAAACTTTACTTCGATGCTCGAGATCGAGACGATTTGCAAAATTTTCACGCGAGTGGAAAATATCGGGTTAACGAGTAGTAGTTCGGGGAAAATTGTCGTCGCGCCGCGTGTCGCGCTAATTTAGCTGAAACAAGTGTCAACAACGACGGTCGACGCTGTAGTATTCTTATCGCTATGTCAGTATATCAAGTACGAAGGCACAATTGTCGGGAAATGTGTTTTGTCGCGAGTGTATCTAGCACGGAAGTCCAACCATCGGGTGAAACGGCTCCTCCGTGACACGTCTCTCCATAAAAACGATACGCCCCCCTTCTTACCTTCCTTAAACTCATCCAGTCTTTCGAAAAATTCTACGAATCAGCCTAGATCGATCCTAGCCTATCTTTTCAGACGTCTTTCTGCTCGTCTTTCGAATTCAAACCCCGAAACCACGTTCTCTACCCCCATCTTCGATCACTACTTCTTCTTCTTCTTCTTCTTCTTCTTCTTCTTCTTCTTCTTCTTCTTCTTCTTCTTCTTCTTCTTCTTCTTCTTAGTTGAACACATAGCGCACGCTGCTGCTAAGGCACGAGAATTGAACGATTTCGTTTCTATTCGCTTTATCCTTACGCGGATAAATTCGTCATAGGCCCCGAAGAGGACGAAAAGGGCGAGAGGAACTCGCTCCCTCTTTGTTTTCGCGCGAGGAACGCCGCCAGAGAGAACGGAGAAGCGTGTCGCGACGACGCGTTCAAACGTTTTTCACGCGATTCAGACACGGCCGATACGAAGATGGCCGTCAAAGATGAAAACGTCGGCCGTGCAAGCGGCATTGTTTCTCGGAACATCTGTCGCCTCACGCTTGTCCCTTTTTCTTTTTCTTTTTTTTTTTTTTTCGGTGTTGACCAAATATTCTTCTATATGTGTATATATATATTCTCCTCTTAATTCAATGCGCGCGTCTGATTCGCGTACGATTTCAATCCGTATTTATATTCCAGTCTCAATATAAACCCGGGGTTCGACAAACGTCTTCGCGGTGTCTGCCGACGGCTAGTTTGGTATTCCTGGCGAACGACGAGCCGTTCGGGGGCGTCGTTCGAGACCATACACACCAAATCCGATCGCGACTACGTGCCCGTACCCTATCGGAATCTCTCTCCCGGCTAGAAGCCTCGGGTCGACGACTATGATCCCGTTTACCGTGCGATCTCGCGAGCTCTTGGTCGTAAACGCTGCCGTGTGAAAAAGAAAAAAAAAAGAAAGCACGAGGACGAAATCGTACGAGAGAGAGAGAGACGTCGTTTCGGTGAACTAGCAGGGCCTGGTGTCTGTTACGCGTTTTATCAAGAACGGCGCGTTTCATCGTCGAAAACGATACGTGACGCACGGTGGTCGTGATCGTGGAAGGTTCTCTGGATCGGTGGTTGTCTCCTCTCTGAAGTTGGTCGCGAGAGCCGGCATGGGGAAGAACGAGTGTTTCACCAAGTGAAAACGCGAGTGTTCCAAGAAAGCTACGTGATACCAAAAAAAAAAAAAAAAAAAAAAGTTGATCCTCTTCTTTCTCGCGTTCCTCCTGTCAACTGATGAAAACCTAGTTGTTGTAAAACTGATTTCTAGCAGAAGGCGCGCTAGAGGGGGGTTGAAAAGTACGCGAGAGGACTATCGTTGAAAGCCTACGATAAAGTCAAGGGTCAGCTGGGAAGATGAAGAAGAAAGCACGATAATTCAAGAAATTCGAGCTCCGATAGCTTAGCTCCCTTTCTCTCGAGCGTTCGATTTCGACGAGGCCGAAACGAGGAATTCTGTTTCGCTAGTTTTTTTTTCTTTTTTTTTTTTTGTTTTTTTTTCTGTTTGTTCGCTCGCTGGAGGAGTTCATCCATTTTTCTTGCTGGCTGCCCCCCGCGTTCCGTGTGCCCCGATGGAAGCGTCGATGAGACGCGGCTCGACGCTATGCCTTTACTCCATCGCGGCTTCTTGAAGGGCGTGCAGATGAGCGTAAAGCCCGTCCGCCGATATCAGGTCGTCGTGAGTGCCCATCTCCGCGACGGTCCCCTTCTCCAGCACGCAGATCACGTCGGCGTTCCTTATGGTGGCCAAACGATGCGCTATGGTGATGCACGTCCTGCCCTCCATAGCCTTGTCCAGCGCCGCTTGCACCACCTACAATCACAGAAATATTTTTCTACATTAACCCTTTATTATTGGCACCTAAAATTTGTCCTCGAGGTTATTGTTGGCGGCCATAAACGCTTGAATACCACGGGCGTTACCATTAATCCTTTGCACTCAGTTTTTATCACAGGGACTCTTATGTTGAGTTACACTCGATATTTTTAAATTGTCAAAAATCAATAATAATAATTATATATTATATGTTATTTTATTATAATTATATAATTAAAAAATAATAAATTATTATAATAATTATTATTAAAATAATAATAATAATTGAAAAATAGTTTGGAATGCAAATGCATAATTCGAGTGAATGTTAATACATGTAAATTTTTCAATTATTAGCTTCGTTACTACTATGGTGCGAATGAATTAATACAGTACAGAACATATAAAAGTACATAAGTTTAATTCTGCGTATAGTATGTATAGGTAAATATTATTATATACGTATATATACATATATATCGCGATGAATCGTACTGCAAAAATGTCTGCAAACAAAGAAAGGGTGAATCGGTACAGCCTTCACAATATGTGACTTTTTTGGTACAAATGCTTGCCCTTGTTCTAGCTAATTGTTTCAAATTCGTTTCGTAACATCTTCTACAAAATCGTCAACCGATGCTGGTTCTTCCTGCCATTTTTTTCATTTCATGACACAAAAGAAAATCTACAACTGAAACATCAATCTTAAAACGTGAAGAAGAATTTTCCACAATACCACGTGACCAAAAAAATTAAACGTTTGACAACAAATAAGAATTATAAATGACCGACAATTTCTTTCGTTGCCGATAATCATTAGTGACGAAGGGAATTTTATTTCGGTAATTTATCGATATTTTAAATATTTAAAATTATAAATATTTAAAAAGAAAACCATCCGAGTTTACGTTCTTTCTTTAAATTGACGAAGAAGAAGAATGGAAATGAATTTCCCTCGTCAATAATTATTATTAGCAACCGAAAGAGAATCTCCCTCGCTTACGAAAGAACTCTTGCAAACAATCGAAATAAATTCCTCTCATCGTTTTCTTAAAACTTACAAGCTAATTGTTATTTGCAATCGGAAACGTTTTAATAAAAAAATAAATAAATAAACAAACAATCGTTATCCTACGACTCTTTTTCATTCTGATTGGAATAAGTTATAATTCTTCCAGTTTCCTATAGTTTCTCATCGAATGACAAAAGACGAATTTATACACTAAAGTATATGTACATATACATATCTATGCACGTACACGCTATCCCTGAAAATCGAAATGGATAACAGAGAACAAAAGAACACGGTGAGGCGTAGCAACGCGTATAATGGAACACGATTGGTCTATTTTCCCTCGTGGAGAATGGCACGACAAAGAGGAAAACGCGGTAGCCTGTAAGCAGCCGTGAAACAATAATTGCCGTGAAATTCGTTCGGCACGGACGAGCCACTTTCTCCCCGCAGGGACAACAATTGAACACCCTCTCGCTGGCTCCGGGTATTTCCGATTGTTACCATAGATAATACCATTGCGTTGTCCCCGATTGTTGCCGATTTCGAGAGCACCGCCATGCTACCACCACCGCTAGAATAATCGATCTTCCTGACCGGTGAAATTAAGCGTCGAGCCGGAGATAATCGTTCCGGGGGAATCTTTCGATACTCCACTCGCGTTTCAGAGGTGTATCGATCGTGAGAAGTATCACAAAACAACGGAATCAACAATACAGTGTTTCGTAAATTGTGGAAGTCATTTCGGGAGCTGATTGTACGCCTAAAAATAATGAAACAAAGTCATATAAATATATGTCCTGTCTGTCTTCGTTTATGAGATATAATGAATTTTCTGTTTTAATTACTTTTACAAATGTTGCTCGAATTGTCATTCATCTGGTTACTCTCTCTATCGTTCCTGGTGGTTCTCGAATTTGTCGGAAGCCGTGCTCTATTCTATTTCGTAGTATTTCAGCATGTTCAATTGATGTTGCGTATACAATAGATTTTAAATGTCCCCACAAGTGAAAATCTAATGGATTCAAATCCGGAGAACGAGCAGGCCATGCAATAGGACCTCCACGACCAATCCATTTATTTGCAAAGTGTTGATTNAGCTTACTAGAGTTTGCTCTGTTTATAAAATTCATTATATCTCATAAACGAAGACAGATAGGACATATATTTATATGATTTTTTTTTTCATTATTTTTAGACGTACAATCAGTTTTCGAAGTGGGTCCCGCGAGTTACGAAACACTCTGTATATCGAGACGCAACGCACGTAAAATATAAAAATGTAAAATAGTGAAGAACTCCGTCACGACATTCGATCCGCCACCCTTTCTTTTTTCTTTTCTCGCGTTCGTAAGAAGAAAAAGAAAAAAAAAAAAAGAAAGAAAGTAAGTAATATCTAGAGGAAAGATTCGCGAAATGGATAACATTCGCCGAATGCAAATTCCATTCCACTTTTCTCTGTTCCTCTCTCTCGTTGCCTCCTTCCGCGTTCCTGTACGTACGTGTAATGGAAGGTGGCTTTTTTAAATCTACGAATCGTTTCAACGCTGGCAGAGAGCTCTCGAAGAGCTACTCTGAAGATGTAATACATCGCGTAACGAGACGTTTCACTCGTTGACGCCAGCCACAAACGCGTGAATTTTAATTTCCAAAAAAAAATAAATAAATAAATAAAAATTAGCATGTAAAGTATATCTGTTTCATCACGTGACGCAACGCGAGAGAAATTACACGACGTGGCAGCTCTGTGAATCTCTTTCCCCCGTTTCTTTCCTTTTTTTCTTTAATTTTCTCTCTCTCTCTCTCTCTCTCTCTTTCCTCTTTTTGCTCGTATTGTTCATTAAAATCCATCAGGATCCATTAATATTCATCAGACTCTTCGCTGCGCACTCGCGACAGCGTCGTCGGTTTACGTTGCCGAAGCTCCGCTGTTATTCACATTCGCCGTTCGCGGCAGCAAAATATTTTGCCGTGCCTTTGACGGTAGACGCCGCTCGTTACATCTCGAAAACGCACGGCCGGCGTAAACGAGAGAGAATTTCGCACGGGAGGATCGCTGCCGCGCGCAGGCTGTGCTCCTCCTCGTGTAACGTGTATTAAGAGATCCTTTTGGACATCGTGTTGCGAGATAAATACAAAGTATCCGCCTTGTACTTGTATCATTATATGCAGCGACGCAGCGCAAGGAATTCTGGAGTAATTAGTCGCCTTGGGGGGAGGAAGGGCGCGGTGCATAAATTAAACCGAAAGCATCTCTGAATTTCCAGCACGAATTCTCTTAGAACGTAACCCCGCAAATTGTTGCCCACCAACAGTAGTTTCAAGCATCAGTCATCGATATCCAACCATTTTCCTGTCTCTAGCTCGTCTACGAATCTCGATTTTTCTTTATTCTTCCACTCCACTTTTTACCAATTCTTCAAAGCCAATTTCCCCGAAAAAAATCATCGGGTTTTGTCTGTCAGTCTCATCCGTATCGAGTTCCCGTGTCTTGTATAATAGTACGATGTAGTTAACGTAGTTTTAACCACTTGCGCTGGCAACTGATTGCGGACCATAACGAGTGACCATAAACCGTATAGAATAGTTCGTCGCATTTCTTTTTCAACTCGTCGGTATGATATCAGTGGATAGAAATTATCGAGAAGTAATAAATTTGTTATTTGTTCTGCCTATTTTGTTTTACTTGAATATACTTGAAAATGAGAAAATATTACAATTTTGGGACAAAAAATTCTCGACGTGCGTGGCACGTCATTCCAGCGCAAGAGGTTAAAATTCAGTCATCGATATTCAACTCCTTTCCTGTCTTATATTTATGTCTCTAACTCATATATAATACTAACTGGTCTCGACGTTTCTTTACTCATCACTCATCAAACTTTCAAACGTCACGATTTATTATATTTTTTAAACGTCGCTTCACAATTTACCATTTTTACCAATTCTTCAAATAGCCAATTTCCTCGGAAGAACCATCGGCTTTCGTCTGTCAGTCTCATCCGTATCAATAGTGTGATTATTATAAATAAAAACAAACTGAACAACATGATATCAACTAAGTACAAAGTTATGAAAATTGCATTCAGAATGTACGATCGACTCGAATTTTTAGAGTCTTGAATGTCTTCAACAGCGTCGAAAGTCAAATTATACTCTAACTTCACATTTTATAATAATTATAATATAATTAAATACAGATATTAATATACATATATACAGACATAAATACAAATATTAATATTGTAATTATAATATAATTAAAACACAGAGTGTGGCCGGATGTGAAAAATAAATCAAAAGTTTAGAACGAAATTGTTCCATTTGAAGCTTCGTTTTGGAGAAAATAGAATTTTCAAATGAAATACAATTGGCAGAAAGTTATTCCACGTGTGAAAATAAGTCGGAAATGCGATAAAACTGTGTCGTTTAGAGTCTCGTTTCCGAGAAAATCGAGTTTGAACTCGATCTTGCTTAGAGTTAAGAATTGCCCGATGCGCGCGTGCGTTCGATGAATATTCATATTGAATTCCCCCCCGAAAATGAGGCTTTGAATGAACAGCCTATATTCTAGATTTTCTAGAGCAATTTCTCGGGTAATTTTTCCTCCGATTATACGCGTTCCAGCACGTGCTGCGCGCGTTTCAATATTTAACATCTGACACGTTGTCTGCGCCAGTAAATTTACGTTCCATCTTCGCGAGAAAAAAAATGAAAGGATCTTTAACATTTCAAAAGCTATTTTCGCACACAGCCGAGACGAGAAATCATCTTCCAATATAAAAAAAAAAAAAATTCATTGGCTGCAAAGAAAGATAATTGAGCTTAAAACGACCTAGAACTATCAAATTGATCAAAACGATCAATTTATAATTTTCGTTAATCTGTGTTTTCAGAAATTTAAATGATTTTTTTTATAAAATGTACAAATAGAAGCTTGTGTAATTTATTGCACAGTATTTATTTGTTATAAAGTTTTTCTTTCTTTCTTTCTTTTACTTTAATATCTCTGGTGAAAATTCATCTTTTCGAAAGACTCTCTAACTATTTCTGATCTTTAAATATGACAGCTAATTCTGTCTGAACTAGAAACAGACTGATTCTGATTGATTCGGATTATTAAGTAGTGCAACTGAAGACTCTCGACAACTGAAAATTAACTCAAACTGACTCTCATTCTGAGAGCTTCCTTTCAGGAGACACTCGCCTTCCCTTCTAAAAGACTTCTAAAAGAGGGTTCAGTCGTAGGATAGACGACACGTCACGACCAATCAGGAAACATGAAGCAAGTTTTCAGAGTTACCACCTACTGGAGATATTTCTTGTACGCGCCAATTACCATTGTGCGCAAAAAACTCATTGCAGTTGAAACTGTAATTGAAATTTATAGAAGACCACCTAACGTGACGAAGGATATGCAAAAAGCTCTAATCCAACAGACCAGTTTCTGACGCACGTTCACGTCACGAATTAACACGCGCCATTGATCCATACGAGAAATTAATATTAAGATTAATATTAAAAATTAAAATTAACATCAAGAGAATGTCCGAGACAGGAAATGAAGTCTCGAATTCTCGGATTACACAAGAAAGATGCGCAAAACTCTGTAATCTAACGTCGTGAATTAACACGCACCCGTTGATCTCAACAGAAATAAATATCAAAAATTGAAATTAATACTGAAATGCAACGTTAAAGAAAACATTCAAAAGACTTGGAGATTTCGCGGTTCACGAAAAATCGCAGTGAGAAACGGCAGGCGAAGTTAGGAGGGTGTTAATTGGTCGCGAGGGCGAGACAATGCGCGGCTGCGAAGCTGGAACGCGAGCCTTTTGTCCTCGCGAGAATTCCTCGCGCTTCTTCGGCCTCTTGGGTGGACGGTTGGTCATTTTTTTTCTCCTTTTTTTCTTTTTTTCTTTCTTTCTTTCTTCTTTCGCCACGCTACTCGCCGCTTCTGCCCGCGACTAAAAAGCCGCGTTCCACCGCGTATTATATTACTGAATGCGCGCCGGCGTCCACTTCAGCCTGATTTCACGACCCATTTTCTCTCGGCTTTCCGCCCGCGGCTATTTCTTGCCTGAGCGATCCGCGGTGATACTTGGAGGACGGGGGAAGGACGAAACGCGGTGTTGAAACAACGACGAAGATGATTTTTAAGTGCTCACCTTCTCGCTCTGGGTGTCGAGGGCTGACGTGGCCTCGTCCAGAAGTAGGATTCGAGGATTCCTGACCAAGGCGCGCGCAATCGCGATACGTTGCTTCTGTCCTCCGGACAGCTGTGTTCCCTTGGAGCCTAACCTAGTATCGTATCCCTGTAACAAATAAAAGTCGAACAACGTGGCATTGTAGATCTTCCTTTTATTATCTTTCTTTTCTTTTTTCTTTCACTTCTTTAACACGTTAAGCGCGGAGCTGATTTCGCTGCGCTTTCCGTTCAGGCGGCGATCACACGAGTGTTGGATTACAAGGTATAAACATACTACATAATATCGTTGTTTCACTTTTTTGTTTGGGAATGGCGCAGCCAATGCAAAAGTATACAAATTATAGACTAAACATTGAGATTAGAAGTACACGTTAGAAGACCACCTTCAAAAGACAATCGATTCTATAAAGACACGAAATATTACTTTTTGTAATACGTGTAAAGGCAAACCTTATTTTTGTTTAAAATGTTTCAATAAACTCCGTTAAAATTACAAAATTACGAAAAAAAAATTATTTTTATTTCAATCTTGATTCTGCTGGTCCCACGGACAGACACCGACCAAACGAAAAGTTCACTTCAAAAGACAATCGATTCTATAAAGTAACGAAATATTACGTTTTGTAATACGTGTAAAGGCAAACCTTATTTTTGTTTAAAATGTTTCAATAAACTCCGTTAAAATTACAAAATTACAAAAAAAAAAAATTATTTTTATTTCAACCTTGATTCTGCTAGTCCCACGGACAGACACCGACCAAACGAAAAGTTCACTTCAAAAGACAATCGGTTCTATAAAGACACGTAATATTACTTTTTGTAATACGTGTAAAGGGAAACATTATTTTTGTTTAGAATGTTTCAATAAACTCCATTAAAATTACAAAATTACGAAAAAAAATTATTTTTATTTCAACCTTGATTCTGCTTGTCCCACGGACAGACGCCGACCAAACGAAAAGTTCACTGTCAATCCCCAGGGATTGACGCCCCCTAAACGAAAGGTTCGCTGCCAATCCCCGGGGACTGATGCCGCGCTTAACGTGTTAATATTAATTTTGCGATTAAGCGGTTCAAGAGCGGTGGATTTGCATTTCTGCGCGCGTTGCGTGGAAACGTCCGCTGTGTAACGAGGCGCGATTATTGCGGTTATTTCGGTAAAGTTTGAAACAAATCCGAAAACGTGCACCAACGGAGTTAGAAACAACGGTCGCAAACGCACGTTTCTCGTTGTTGTTCCGCGTGGTTGACGATCTCTGCGATATCTGCCCAACCAATGAATATCTTGCAATTTTTACGCAACGACGAGTCGTGCGACGTAAAGCTTCGAAACAAATTGTAAATTATTCACTATACAGATGAACGTTTCAAACGAAAGGCACGCGTTCCGTTTTGTTCTGATCTTGCTTTTTTTGTTGAAACGTGAAGGTTTTTTAAATGGACCGATATGTTTTTTAATCGACGCAGCTTTTTGAATCTATTAATTTAGGAGATGTATTAACTTTTAATTCTGTAAAATCTATCGTATGAAAATGATGTTCGTGCTGTCCTTGTCTTTCGCGCGTGGATATTATAAAATTAAAATTGAAATATCCTCCTGAACTAATAATAATTTTTCGACATACGTGCACACTCTTTTATAGAGAATTTCGAGTTGATTGATAAATGGATAAATGAATTAATGGATAATGGATTGATTAACGGATAAAAAGATATATCGTCCATTTAAAACACCGTAGGTGACCTTCGTATCTTGATAAAAATGCACAACTCTTACAATATTGCCTTGAAAACGCAACAATGCAACTTTTGTTTGATTTCTTCGTTCATTATTTCGCAAATAACTTGCTAGTTATTATTTCAAGTTATTCCTTATGTTACAAACTCGTCTCGTGTACATTTTTGGATTTGAAAATTATCTAACATGATCACGATTGATCGCACAATGCTAATGAAACTTTAATAAGTAAAGAAAAGGACTTTTGTTGGAAACTTCAAGCATAACATACTTGAATTTTTGTCATTTAATCCTAATATTCAACATTCAATAAAACAGTGAAGAGAAAATTGTATAACAGGTTTTAGGAAATCCATTGTGAAAGAGAAACTTCAATCTTCAAAATGATGGTGGATCTAGTCACGAAAAAGACCTTTAATATTCTTAACACGCGTTTGAATTTTCACAGTCATCAAAAGAGAAAAATGTCAAAAGAGAAAATCCTTTTTTTCTACTCGTTACGTGATGTAAAATCATCTTCAAAAGAAATGAACTCGGCTCGTCAAAATAATAAAAGCTTCGCTCTTTAAGAGAAGACCAAGTGGATTGCTATATGATCTTTTTCTACAGAATTATATATCAGTTTAAATTGTTCGCAATTTTTCATTGTTATTGGTCCAATGATGCTCTTCACCGTATATCAGAATGTCTGGAGAAATAAGAAAGTCCAATTTTGGGACATTGAATAGAAATCGACTTTCAAATCACTGTACGTGAAAAATATCTTCTTTAACGCTGGATCGAAACGAAGTCAGTGGCTGTGTTTTCTTTAAGAATATCGACTATTCCTTTGGAACAAGAATTACGCTACTCACTAGTGGTAGAGAGCTGACGAAGCTGTGTATGTTGGATTTCTTGGCGGCCTCTATGATCTCCTCCATCCGCACTATCCGGAAGTTGTCGCCGTAGGCAATGTTCTCGGCGATCGTTCTGTCGAAGAGCACCGGTTCCTGGCCGACGACGCCCAGCTGAGACCTCAGGTTGCGCAACGAGACCGACGAGATGTCGCGCCTGTCCATCGTCACCGTGCCAGAAATCGGATCGTACAGTCGTTGCAACAATTGGATGCACGTGGATTTGCCGCATCCGCTTTGCCCCACCAACGCAACCATCTGACCCGGTTTCACGATCAAATTTAAACCTTGCAGAATTTGCATTTCGGGCCTCGTCGGGTAGTGGAACTCGACTTTCGAGAATTGAATGAGGCCGTCCGCTTTCTGAAATTCCGAACAGGAACATTCGATTTCAATTCTCACCGTGAAATTTTTCTCTACAAAGAAAATTCGACAGAGAATCGTAATCGTACAAACGAGCTCTTAATGTTTCGTCCAACTCTCCGAGTCATCGTCCACGGAAATGATCACTCGCGTTAATTTACAAAGATATCGCGAGATATCGTTTCCGACGATTCGCACCAAAGAGAGAGAGGAATAAGAAAATTGATTTAAGAGAATGCGTCATAGCTGTTTGCCAGTGAAACGAGTCATACGTAACGAGCGTTTGGGTAGCGCGAATTCGAAACATCCGCGTCGTTTATTTCGTATCGCTCCGTTAAACGGTTTGGAATTCTAGAGAGGCGGTCGCAACCCTGATCAAACATGGTTGCCCGGGTTTTGAGCGTAATTAACGCGCATACCCGGCGGCTACGTCGCTGTCAGTATGTCATAAATTCAACGCTTTGCTAAACACCCGTAATGAAACGTCGAAATTTGACGATTCGGTCAGTTCTGCCAGTCTTCCCCTATACTTTATATAAACTAAACTAGCCAAGTGTCGATAATAACAATAATCAGCCGCGCGACCATACTTCGCTGACGTTCGACAAATATCAAGTCTACTCGATCGAGAATAGAACCGTCCCACTCACCCAATCCAGATCTTTGTCTTCCGAATCCGGCGGCGAGGTGATCTCTGGCACTCTGTCCAAGAGCTTGAATATCCTTCCGGCAGAGATCTTAGCGGTGTTGAAATTAGGCGCGAAGGCTAAGGCCTGGCCCAGCATCCAAGACCCGAAGATCAACGCCTCCGACACTTTGATCACGTTCTGATAGCTCAACCCCTCCCTAGCCACCAACGCGCCGCCGTAATAGAGACTCAGAGCGTAGCCGAAGAACGGCGTTGTCTGGCCGCACGAGAACACCAGTCCTCGCAGTCTGTTCCTGATCCTCGTCGCCTTCGCCACGTGTTCCAGCTCCACGCAGTAACGCTCCAAGAATGCCTCCTCCTTCCCGAGGCTGGCCACCGTACGAATGTTGGAGATCGCCTCTATGGCGATCCTCGTCGCTGCCTCCATCTTCTTCTTCTCTTGCAAACCTTGGCCGCTCATCACCCTCGCCTCGAAGAACACCGCGGCCAACACCAGAGGTATCGAGACCACGGAGACCAACGTCATCTTCCAGGTGTAATACATGGACAATCCGATCCCGAGGACCAAGGTGGACAGTGCCTGAAGGATCGCGCCGACACGCGTGCCTGTCGCGCCTTGCACGGCGCCGGCGTCCGAGGACAGCCTGGCGCACAACGCGCCCACGCTGTTCGTGTCCTCGTCGTACCAGCCCATCTCCTGCCGCAGCATCGCCGCGAACGTCATCTTCCTGATCCTCGTGGTCATACGCACGCCCGCCAGGCCGAACATGTACATCTGCAGGAAGGTGCCCAGTCCGGTGACCACGCCGACTATCAGGAACAGAATGGAGAAGTTGACGGTCTCGCGGCGTACCTCCTCGTCGTCTTGGAGACCCAGCACGTAGTACACCTCGCCGAATAGAACGGCGAACGCTGGGAACGAGGCGCCCACGATTGCTGCCGCTAGACATCCTGAAATATATCGAGATTTTCCTTTTTCATTTCTTTCATCTTCTCTCGAAAGTTGCATACTTTTGCTCGGCGTCAGAGTCAGTTAGTTTCGCTTTGAAACAATGGAAATGAGAATTTTGTTGATTTTCGTTAATTTTCGCCAACGAATTTGGATAATTGGAATTGGAATAATTATGCGATGTAAGAGAATTGGTTGAAGCAGAGATGGCTAACTGGCGGCACTTGCCCCTACTTTTCCTCGCTAGGTGTCGCTAGTGCTATCCCCTCCACTGCGTCGATCTCCCCTCCACTACGTCGAGAGTGTCGTAGTCGTAACGCGGTACTCGCGTTAGGTATATATGCGTACGTATAAATTGTTTTTTTACTGCAACTGTTAAAGTTAAAGAAAGATAGGGAAACGTAGTTTGTGTAGCTCGTTGCGGAACAGAGGAGAAACTAATTTTCACGGTGGAAAAACAGGAGATTGAGCTGTACAAGAAATTCATCGCCTCCGGGTCGTAGATGTGAAGGAGAGATCGAGGAAAGAATTGTTGAACGAATACGTAAACGTGTCAATTATACCGATTATATTGTAAGGCCATTCCGGTTTATTGAGAGCGAATATCCTCATCATTGGTGCGTCGTACGGCTTCTCGTGTTCTTCCAGTTGGTTCACCGAGCTCTCCGATGCGCCAGCTAACGACAGCCGATGAGAGTGCATCGACAGTGTGGAGAATTGCCTCTTCAACGGTGGCTTCTGCTGCTTCGGTATGGCTGCGGTCACTGTCTTTGCCGCCGAGGCCGTCGCTTTCGCTGGAAATTCAATCGACACCAACGCGTAACGTCATTCCGTTCGATGTTGAGAGAAGGAAAATACCAAATTACTTTTACTTTAAAGAAACTACTCTCACTTTACTAGAAAATACTCTCACTTTATTCCTGTTTGGCAAATAACGACAATACAATTGCACGAACTATTTATTCTAAAAGTCCATTCTCTTTTATTTGAAGATATTGAAGAATTTTTGCTTTTGCAATTATCAGTCATTTGTATTCGGCAATTTCAGCAACGAAATTTCAACTGATATGAACATTTGAAGATTGAAGTTATAAACTGTTTCCAAGTGAAAAGTTCACGCTAAAAGTTCACGCTAAAGTACCAATATGTAAATTTTTCGTTCCACAAAAATTGGACTTGCACCACTTTCAGAATAAACGATCCATATAAAATGCACAGAATATTCAAACTATCGATTGCACATGAACTCTTTTCAAGCTCGAACAATGTAGGACGAAAACTCGGTCAGTTTCGCATCAGCTACAAATTGCAACTATCAGAAAATTGTTTTTGTCAAAGTCCCCTCGACTTGTTTCAATGGCGCGTACGATATTTTTAATTTGACGCCGTTGTAACTGATACTCGAACTTCGTGTGAAAAAATATCTCTCTGTTCTTGTAGAATTTTTATGGTAAATGCATTGCCATTTTCACATGTAAGAAGTATTACACTTTCGAGCAATGTTCCATGGAAACAAGTTATTTCAGAACATTTAATTAAGTCCATGTTTATAGTACTATTTTTCTGAGTACTATTCGTTGAATGGTATTTACATCAATGTCGAATTGAACAAATTATCTGCACCTCCGACAGACAAATTTTCATTTTTATACTTCACAAGTCCTTATATTTTTAAGAACGTTTGCTTGTCTAAGGACTTGCAACGTAAGAATATTTTCCAAGAAGGTTCTGTGTTTCAAATAGTATATAACCTGGTTCGATCTCTGGTTCAACGACTTGCAATTGCAGTTTGTAGCTGATACAAAGATCAACTTCTGTCTGACGGAACATATTTTTACCAAACTATCGAAAATCGTGTTGAAAACTCGTGTAACCCGATTCGAATGATAAATTAAAGGCAAATATAATAAATTGAATTGACTAAATCGATGGACAAAGTGAAGATCAAAAGCAAGTTTACCTCTGGCAGTGGCACTGGCGTCGGCAGAGACCAATCCGTAGTAATGATTCCCAAGGGCGAGTAGTTCCTCATGCGTGCCCTGTTCAACCACCTGGCCTTCCTTTATAAACACTATCCTATCGGCATTGGTAATTGTCGACAGTCGGTGAGTGACAACGATCGTCGTCCTGCCCTTTGACGCCGCGTCCAAAGCTCTCTGCACAGTGGCCTCGCTATGAAGATCCAAAGCGGACGTCGCTTCGTCCAGCAAAAGTATGGCCGGTCGTCTGACCAAAGCCCGAGCGATCGCGATCCTCTGCTTCTGTCCACCGGACAGTTGCGATCCTCTCTCGCCAACGGGACTGTCGTACGCCTGCGACAAACACCGAACAAACATTCAACATTTGATGAAAATAACACGTTCTACGTCTCCTTAACGAGAGCTCAATGTTGCGGAAGAAATTATAATTTTAATCGAAATTAAATTCCGGCGGATAGAAAGGAGAATTAATGGAAATTGAAGAAACCTATTTTTGGTTACAGTCGCCAATAGTTATCGATTATTAACGAAACATTTGTCTGTTTGCTTACTCGTGGAGGCCATCGCGTACTCTGTGGTTTGAAACAACAATTAATTAAAAAAAAGTCTTCAGATAAAGCTCTAATTTTAATGAACGACACGTGCAGGACTTGCGTTTAATTTGGAAGGAGAATTAATGGAAATTGAAGAAACCTGTTTTTGGTTACAGTCGCCAATGGTTATCGATTGTTAACGAAACATTTGACTGTTTAATTACTCGCGTCATCTGTGGTTTGAAACAACAATTAATTAAAAAGAAGTCTTCAGATAAACCTCTAATTTTAATGAAGAACATGTGCAGGACTTGCGTTTAATTTGGAAGGAGAATTAATGGAAATTGAAGAAACCTGTTTTTGGTTACAGTCGTCAATAGTTATCGATTGTTAACGAAACATGGAAGGAGAGTTAATGGAAATTGAAGAAAACTGATTTTGGTTATAATCACGTCCAAGTTACGTGATAATTATCGAGGCAGCAGTGTTCGCGATCCATTTGCTTGTTCGATTACTCGTGGAAGAGGCCATCGCGGTTTCCGCGGTTCGAAACAACGATTATTTAATTAACGAAACTACGAGATCACGCATCTACGGTGAATATGTACCGCGTTGAGATCTAATAAATTTACGAGCCGCGCCACTTCGCACCACCGATCGTAACGCATTTTAATCATCGTTCTTCTTGTTTCCCACGTCGGACAACGAAATCCTAGGTTAAAATAAACCGACGATATTTTTATTTTGACTTGTCAATTTCCTTCTTCGATATATATATCGTTTTAATTTATAATAATCGATGTATATATATACATATATCGTTTTAATTTATAATTTCTTACAAGAATATAATTTTAATATATGAATTAAAATTAATGAATTAAAAATATAATATATATATTACAATTCATATATTTATATTGTTTCAATTTATAATAATTCTTATAAAAGAATTATTCTTGATCCTCAGAGTCTAGGATATGAGATAACATCCCAGGTGCAATTTAATTCTCGATGCACTTCAAGCAAAACGTTTCAAAAAAGTAAAAAACTTTCTATAAATACAATATTCGAGTACTTTCGCGAGTCAGTCTGTGAATGATCGTGTCCTCAATCTTTTCTACTTCTTGACAATACATTTATGATATTACTATTGTCATATGTGTCTTCTCGGCTTAACTCGTAATACCTCTTGCAAAGGATCATCATCGAAAGTCCACGAATATTCCGCGCAATTTAATTCTCATAGAATTTCAAATAAAATATTCAAAAAAAACAAACTTTTCTGTAACATTTACAGAATACTTTCACGAGCCAGTTTATTACTACTATATTATATTATATAGTTTATATTATAGTTTATACTAGTTTAATATATAATATACTATAGTTTAAACTATATAGTTATAGTTATATACTATAATATAGTTTATAGTATATTATTTATTATAGTTATATACTATATTATTTTATAATATATCATTTATTAGTCTATAGTGTATAGTTTATAGTATATTATTATACTATATTATAGTACATTATTATAGTTTATAGTTCAGTTATAGTATATTGTATAGTTTATATTATATTTATATTATATTGTACACTTTACTGCTAGATTGTCTCTTAAATACATAAATAATTTGCCGAAAAATATCAGAACGTATCCGACGTGGTAGCAAAACGTTCCATTTACATAACTCGACAACGTTCGTTCGTCAACGTGCGTGCGTGTGCGAAACGTGGCGATGGCCACTTTTGCCGGATAAAATTTCACGTGCGCGATCGCGCGGCGCATCGATCCGTAAAATAAACTGCGCGGGGGCTCCTCCATAAACTGGAAAATGTCTGGCCCGTTTGTTGCCGCGGATCGTTACGCGGTTCTAAACGCATCGCGAGGAACAATGCACGCACGCACGCACGCACGCACGTGGCCACACGCGCACCGACGCGGTGAGTAAACGCGGTGAGAAACACGCGGATGAAACCATCGCGAGCATCGGATTCACCTGCCGATAATTCGGTAATAAACGCCTAATCGTTGACGCGGCCGTAATCTGGGATACTGTTATTTGCCCGGGCACCGGTTTAACCGGTGTTTTATCGTCTGTTTGCACGCGTGTTTCGCGGCTCGTCGCCCACACCTGAGACTATTGTTAACGCGTCGCGACCACCTGAATTACTCACGGTCAACCTGGTGTTACACGTGATAGCCAAGCACAACGACAACCACCGACAACGAACGTCACTCGCATGATCGTAATTTGTCAGATTTGAACGACTCGTTGGATATCGCGGGTAGATATTGACAAAATTGACTCATTAGTTGTTAATTGCAGCGAATCGAATTGCGTCGATTTTTGATTTATTTTCCACGCTATCGCGACCGATAGTTTTTGCTTCTGAGGCACGAGTCGTGCAATGTTTATAACAGCCAGCAGAAACCATAATTGCAATTTTACAGAACAAAGCAACAAATTTAATTATTTTACCAAACACATGGTTGAACGTTTACTCTATCGCGCAAGTCGCGTGCTCCTGCAATTGTTACGATAATACTAAATGATAATGAAACAATAATAATTTGCTTACAATCGCAAACACGTACTTTCACGAATTTCGTTGAAACGTGGTAAACATAAATACGGTTTATCGGAACAATTGTTAATGGAATGTTACCATTATTACGGTACAGTTGTTTGCCAATTGTGAATCAAACTTTTTAACATTATTTCGATGACAAATTTTACAGATTTCTTCTTGTTGAAGTTCCCGTTGGCCTTGACAGACAATCGTGCACGATAAACGCGGTATACATGTCATCAAGACGTAAATACATGACAAATTTCTAAAAAAAATTTCGTTTTACAATGAAAATTCCAAATGGCTTAAACGGACAGTCCATTGTGTGACATATAAGAGAGACATAGTTTACGAGGATTATATTAGATACAATGTTAAGAAGGATTTTGCTTGTCAAGTCAGGATAATGATCGCCCTTATCTGGCGATTATCTTTTCGATCTTCCTAAATAGGCTTGTTACATCGCGTCAGATTTGCATTCATTAATCATCGATCCAAAGAGTTTCGAAATTTCAGATTCAAAAAATTTCCAAATCGATCTCGGAAACTTGCTCTATCATTCAGATCAAACGAAACACGCCGAGTGAAACGAACTGCGAGTGTGTGAATTTTTAACAGAAATACTACCGATTGAAGCGCAAGATTTCCATCAGAGACACTGAATTCGAAACAAAATAGAGAAACTTTATGACACAACTTTATCAGTTTATATATTTCACGAAAAGAATTATTTAAATCTTTCAAAACACACAAATCGTTCCACGCCTGTAAAAATGTCTAACTGTCTGAAAATTATAAATTGGCCCGGCCATTTATGGCCACGTTCCAGTAGTTCTAGTGTTAATTACCAAAAAAAAAAAAAAAAAAAAAAAAAAAAAAAAATTATCATTTTTCACCACTCGCAGGTCACTCGTTAGCCGAGATCGTCGCCAGTCTGGCGATCAACGAGATAGATCCGGACGAACGAGAGCACGCGCAAAGAGGATATTAAAATTCCAAGCGAGTTCACGGTCCTCGGGACACAATTTTAATTAGAGGGGCCTTTGTGCGAGAGATTCTAGGGAGCCGTCGGGACGAAAAGCCCCGGTGGCGCTCCAGAGCAAGGAGATCTTTCGCACGTACGCCTAGAGGTTCGGCAGAGGATAGAAACCATCAAGCTGGTGAAAAGTGAGACCGAATCAATCGGCGCGAAACGAGAACTGAAAAGGAAACTGAAATCCGGCTCACGCGTTGGAGAGGAGGGTTGGAACGGGCTGGAGAAGCCACTCACCTCGGGCAGTTTACTGATGAAGTCGTGAGCATTCGCTTCCTTCGCGGCTTTGATCATCTCCTCCTCGGTAATGCTGTCATTTCCGTACCGGATATTCTCCCGTATCGTTGTGTCAAAGAGCACCGGCTCCTGGCCGACCACGCCTATGTGCGAGCGTAGCCACTGGACGTTCAGCTTCGACACTTCCACTCCGTCCAGCAGGACCTGTTTCGAACAGAGAGATCGACGCGTGATCCTCGTGAGAAGCGTCGTAGACATGGGGAGGTGAAAAAAATACGTCGTTGTGAATTTAACTTAATACGTTGAGCGTAGAGCTGATTTTGCCGCGCTTTTCGTTCAGGCGGCGATCGTACGAGTGTTTACAGGGTATAAACATACTAAATATCGTTGTTTCACTTTTTGTTTGGGAATGGCGCAGCCAATGCAAAAGTATACAAATTATAGACTAAACATTGAGATTAGAAGTACATGTTAGAAGGCCACTTTCAAAAGACAATCGGNTTCTATAAAGACACGTAATATTACTTTTTGTAATACGTGTAAAGGGAAACATTATTTTTGTTTAGAATGTTTCAATAAACTCCGTTAAAATTACAAAATTACGAAAAAAAAATTATTTTTATTTCAATCTTGATTCTGCTGGTCCCACGGACAGACGCCGACCAAACGAAAAGTTCACTTCAAAAGACAATCGATTCTATAAAGACACGTAATATTACTTTTTGTAATACGTGTAAAGGGAAACATTATTTTTGTTTAGAATGTTTCAATAAACTCCGTTAAAATTACAAAATTACGAAAAAAAAATTATTTTTATTTCAACCTTGATCCTGCTGGTCCCACGGACAGACGCCGACCAAACGAAAAGTTCACTTCAAAAGACAATCGATTCTATAAAGGCACGAAATATTACGTTTTGTAATACCTGTAAAGACAAACCTTATTTTTGTTTAAAATGTTTCAATAAACTCCGTTAAAATTACAAAATTACAAAAAAATTATTTTTATTTCAACCTTGATTCTGCTAGTCCCACGGACAGACACCGACCAAACGAAAAGTTCACTTCAAAAGACAATCGATTCTATAAAGACACGTAATATTACTTTTTGTAATACGTGTAAAGGCAAACATTATTTTTGTTTAGAATGTTTCAATAAACTCCATTAAAATTACAAAATTACGAAAAAAAAATTATTTTTATTTTAACTTTGATTCTGCTGGTCCCACGGACAGACGCCGACCAAACGAAAAGTTCACTGTCAATGCTCAGGGACTGACGCCCCCTAAACGGAAAGTTCGCTGTCAATCCCCGGGGACTGACGCCGCGCTTAACGTGTTAACTGATTTTCGATACGTATCAAGATATTCTGCACCTAAATCATTAATTCAATAATCAAAATATTCTGCATGTAATTCAAATGATAATAATTAACACCGACTTTACTCGGTGATTGAACTTATTACGCAAACTGAAGACCGTCTTGATTTCGGCTATCGCGCGGGAATGTAAGCATCTGTACAACTTTTCAATCAATATTCGTGAGAGTGCTCTTATTATAGTGTAACGAAATTTAATAAAATTTTCAATTTTCACGACATTAGTGTTATGTAATATTTATTTCGTGTAGAAACATTTCTAAACAATTATTTATAAAACACGTTAAATTTCAATGTAATGATTTTCAGCAAACAGGTAAATTTTTAATGTTACTTGTAAAGAGTGATGTATGTCGCCTATATTGTCTTTTACTCTCACTGGTTACTATATTCACAAGTTTCTATTTTCTAAAATTTGATAATCTTTCCAGACTGTCAAACTTGGATATTCTTCTCTATATGAAGTATATGTTCATGATCTTTAAAATTGCTAAACACCAATAAATAAACTCATGGTTGACAAGCGTTGGCAGTAAACAGCCGATTAATAGGTTTTCCGATCGTTAAAGTGTTAAAATAAATAGATCTGTACAAATACGTTTCCGTCTGAACAAAATATCAATGTTAATTTTGACAAAGGTGATTGCAAAACAAAAAAAAAAAAAATCTGCGATCCGTCAGGTTGATGGATTTGGTTGTTCTAGTGTTAAAAGGCAAAAGCTTTTTTTTATCGGCATAAATGGCAAACAAATGGAAAAAAGGAAGAGAGAGAGAGAGAGAGAGAGAACGCATTCAAAAGCTAACTGAATATATGGCGCAATATTTTCGACAGCGAGAGGAAACAGCGACAAACGCAGAAACGCAGAAACGCGCGGGGATCGTAAAACTTTTGCTACTGAGAAAGCTCGACCGCCTGCGTCCCGCTGCGAGAGAGAGAGAGAGAGAGAGAGAGAGAGAGACTCGCTTCTAACTTGCCCCGCGTAAATTTCCATCGCGTTCGCGAGTACAGATGTAATAATGGAATATTCACGACCGGGATATTGTTAGCCCGGGACGCGATAAATAAATTCACCCTCGCCTCTGCACGCCTCTGCTTAATCGAGCTCGATTTGACAGACTGCGAAACGACGGTTTCCCGCGTGCCCGAAACAGAAATCGAGATCGTTTTGGAGAAACGACTCGGAAGAAACGTAGAGACGAATGTCGGTCGTTCAAAAATCGTAACGACGCGTACGCGCTCTCTCTGGTGGGAAAAAACTCGCCGTTGTAATTTCGCAATTTGGAGAGCAAACTTTCGCCAAATATTCGCGGGCTCGGCGCTCGGTTATTAACCGTTCTCTGCGCGCAACGCTCGCGGAAAAATACCCAGCGCGCGCGCGCGCGCATTTTAATAAATTGCCGCCGTTCGCGCGACGAGCGCGAGCAAATTGAAAACGCGGCTCTATGATCCTCGCCGTACGAGAAAATTCATGGCGCTGGCCGCGCGTATTATGTAAAATTCCGCTGGAAAACAGAGTTACACGGTCCAACGCGTACGATAAACGCGCCAATTATTATTGTACAATTAATGCAACTGCGAAGATACCTGGCTCGTTGCAGTTTTCTGAATTATTAACAGCAGAGAATCCAATAGGGAATCTCATTAACGCCAACGCCTTTCTTTCTATACATCTTGTATTTTTTTTTTTTTTTTTTTTTTTTTTTTTCTTATTTCCTTTGCTTCGTTCTAATTACAAAAATTTAGTATGGAATTAAATTTTTCTTTCTGTCTCTTGGAATTTTTCTCTCTCTCTCTTCTTTTTTTTTAGGAATTAGCTAAGAGCTGGCCGATAGGTGTTGCATTTTGAAAGATAGTATACAGCGTGTGTTTAGAAAAATTGATGTGAAACCTCAGGTGCGTGTAGCTCGTCGAAACGAACAAAGAAAAGAGTCTTCGCAAACACGCTTGAAAAATTTATAAAACCAGTTTTGGAATTGTTGGATTTTTCTTTCTTGTTTTGGAAGCTGTAACAATGGCTTAATAGTTTTCTGTTTCGTCGCTATCCGGAGCCAATCACTGCGAACACAACACGTGCATCTATTAAAGGACTGTGTAATAAAAATAATATCTCCATAACGTCAAAACTAATGGTTTTTGGACCTCCGTTTATTAAAACTTTTGCTTGTTTTGACGCGTACCATGCGCTCTCGAAATTTTTACCAACTTTTCGAAATATTTTCCAGAAATATTGAATCAGCTATTTATCGTTGTGAGTGTTCGATAAAAGAACAGATCAGAGTGAACATTTATCTTTGTCTCGCGAAGATCACACCAATATCCAACGAGCGCGGATTTTTCTTTTTTACTTGCCTGTCCCTTCGAAGGATCGTAGAGACGTTGGATCAGCTGAAGGCAGGTAGATTTGCCACAGCCGGATCCACCGACCAGCGCCACCGTCTCGCCCCGATTGATCTTCAAGTTCAAGCCCTGCAACACCTTCACGTCCTTTCGTGCTGGATACTGGAAGTGCACGTTCTTGAACTCGATCTCGCCGGTGACGGAGGGGAGCTTCTGGCCGTCGTTGCTCAAGCTATCGATCGCTGGAATGCGATCGAGCACCTGGAAAATCGCTGCGGCCGAGCCGCGCGCCACCGCGAACGCCTCGAGATGCGGCGATGTCAGACCCATGTTCTGCGCTCCAGCCAGCACGCCGAAGAACACGATCACCAACACTGCCGGGGTATACTCCTTCACCTCCTTCGGCCTGTCGTCCAGGATCAACTGAACCCCGTACCTGTCGAACGATCACGGTTGAAGTTGAAAACTCGCCGCGATTTGGAGAATTTCTTACGATCGCTCAACATTCCCTCTCCTTTCCCTTGACGACGATGGAAAGATGAATGAGATGACGATAAAAGGACAAAGATTACAAAGATAAAAAGATGAATATATATATATATATAAAGATAAAATAAAAAGATGAATAAATAAATAAATAAATAAATATATATATATATATATATATATAAAGATAAGATAAAAAGACATAGATATATATATTATAAAGGTATAGAAATCATATATATATATATATATATATATAGAAAAGACAAAAAGATATATATATATATATAAAGATAAAAAGAAATTTGGAATTTGTTGCACAGAGACAAAAGGAACACTTTAAAAGTTAAAATTAACGTATTTCGTTTCTGGCTGCTTGTCGGACTCTGACACAATGCGAGTAGTAACACATGCAGATCGATATTGCTCGCAATTGATGGAGAAATCATCTTATGATCAAGATTATATTCGATATTGACAATGCAACTTTATGTTATTCGATTGAAAAATTGGCGCATTTTATTTTACTATAAGGCTGCGGATTTTTATGCATTTATGGAAAACTTGAAGATGCAAGAACGCGCACAATGCACGTAATATACAAGAGTATGTAAAATATCCAAAGATATTTATCAATTATATGATATAATGGGAGAAACAATTTTTATTTAGGTTCCATTTCTTCAATATTAATCATAACAATGCATAGAAGAAACAATTTTTTTATTTAGCTTCCATTTCTTCGATAACGTTCACGGTAACTTAAAATCCGCATAAAAGTCCACAGTCTACTTGCTATAATACCGCGATATCTGTGTTCGTTCCCCTGGCCATCCCCTCGCATCTGTCAAAATCCTCGTCCATTCTCGAGAAGAGGGAAGCCACGGAAAGGGGTAGGAAGTCGCGAGAAGATCGTTTCATATCGAATTAGAGTATCCAAGGCAGCCACTTTGCATGACAAACAAAGGCACATCCTTGTATGATGTTTCTCTTTTAAAGCAAACAACTTTTACCCAAAACACCGCCGACACAATGCCGGAATTACTCGGCTGATCTGTTTTCACCCTACTTGTCCCGGCTCACCCCGCGTCAAAGGCGTTTGTTCTGGAGATGCTCGCATCCCTTTCGTCTATACTTCACCACGCGTGGCAAACGTACAGACGAAAAACTGTTCAAACATTTTCCGGCAACGGGACGAGACAGTAGATATAATAAACGAAACGTGTCGCGTGCTTGATCGCAGCTATTTGCCATCACTGAGGTCGAGTCTCAAGGATCGACTGCTACCGTTATTCTACAGTTCCCACAGCGAGGTTAGAGGTGTTAGAGGTGTGCGAGAAATCCCGAAATTTCGAATTTTCGACTTTTATGCCATTCTAAAAAGTCAGATTTATAAAATTTACTTGCTGTTTAAACTGTTTAAATTATTCTTTCGCGAGAATGCCAAATCGAGTCGGTATTTCTCGAGTGTGTTGGTAGATTCTGAAATGTGTTAAAATTCGATACACTCAGGAATCTACATAATTTTTTAAATAATTTTAATTATAGTTTATATTAACAAAATTTTTAATTGCAAACTTGAAAGAATTAAAAAATAATTAATTAGCTATATATATAAAATTTTAAGTCAAATGAACTATTAATCTTCAAAATTAGAAAAATAAATTTTAAATTTTCCAGTATAATAAATCATTTACTTACATATATAATACAATATATATAATATATATATATAATAACATATATATAATATAAATTACCTTTTTATATCATTTATGTTCAATTATATTATAGACAAAAGTCATTTTACATAAATTAATAATATAAATTTATATAAATTTATTTCGAATATCGAATAATCCCGAAATATTTAAATTCCCGACTCGATTCGACAATTTCGAGATCTCGTACATTTCCAGCGCCGAGGAACCGACCCTAGCCGACATGCATCGATCACGTGCACTCATTTATGTATACAGGTTCACTTGTCTCTCGTCGAAGTATACTATAATATGTATAGACTTACCAAAACGCCACCGCGTAGCTGATGTATATGATGAACCACATCACGCCACCGCCGACGCCCGACCACATTCCACGTCTTATTCCGGTCTTTTCGGCTGGTATCAGCTTCTCCGCGTATCTATCCACTTCCTTCTGCTCGCCGTTGAACGCAATCACGGTCCTGATGGCGCCCAACACTTCCTCGGCCACGGTCCCGGCTCTCCCGTAAGCGTTCAACTCCTGAGCTGTCAGGGAGCTCTGAACTTTCGCCACTACCGCGGTGGCTATCACGATGATTGGCGCGCAACTCAGCACCACAAGCGTTAACTTCCAGCCGTACACGAACGATATGATGATAGAAGAGACGAAGGAGATCATCAAGTACGTGAACACGCCCAGTTTCTCTCCTATGCCGTCCTTCATCTTGTCCAGGTCCCTGCAATTTCACATTTCCGACGATTTTTATACCCCTTCTTTCAAGTACACGCTTTGATGTCGCGCTGTGATGTTTCGGTCTCGTTTCTCGTGACTGAGAGAACTCTTGAGCGAAACAAGCTTGTATCCAAACATCAAATTTCTCCGAAAGGAAGGAAATGGTCGCCGTTTAAATTTACGAATTCCTGGATTACTCGTACATGGACAAAGGTGGAAATAATATTTCCTAATGCATTATGTTTCTTTTCAGTGGGGAACGTAACAAAATGAAAAAATTTGGTCGAAGCTTCTAATTTTGACAGTATTCGTCCTTTTTTTTTTTGAAAACGATTTTACGTCATGCAGCGAGTGAGGACACTTTTTTCTCGACAATTGTAAAAATCCAAAACGTGCGTAAAAATGGTAAAAAAATTTTTTCATGACTAGATCCACCACGGTTTTGAAGATCGAAATTCTCTTTTTACAACGATCCCTTAAAAATCACTGTACCAATTTTTTCACAAGTTTTATTGAATTGTGAATTTTCGTCATTTAACCCTAATGTTTAACGTTCAATAAAACGGTGGAGAAAAAAATTGTACAACAAGCTTCAAGAGGAGAGTTGATTCTTCAGAATAATGATGGATCTGCTGCACCATTTTATTGAACGTGGAACATTAAAGTTAAATGACGAAATATTTCTTGAATTTTTGTCGGTTGGCCATAATATTCAACGTTTAATAAAGTGGTAGAACAAATCGTACAATAAGCTTCAAGAGGTATAAATTTCGTTGTGAAGAGGAGACTTCTTCGAATTTTTTAATCTTTTAATATTTCTGCACGTGTTTGAATCTTTACAATTTTTGAGAAAGAAGCATCCTCACTTTCCCATTCGTTGTAAAATCATTTTCTCTTCTTTTTTTTCACAAAATTATGTCAGTTCAAATTGTCGGCAATTTTTCATTGACACTGATACAATTATATAAATTGCATTCCACATTTACACTATACACATTAAATTGTAGTAATAAATGAGAATTTTCAGTCTCTAACAAAAACTCTTCAGTCGCGATTATTTTTCTCATTTTGCAAAATCAGAGCCACAAGACTTTTCGAAAGAAATCTGACGCGCGGCCTCGATTTCACTCGGGCAAATTTTTGCCCGATTAAATTAAACGTTCGGGCCGCGGATAAATTTGCAAAGATGTCGGATATGTTTGCCAGGCTTCTCGTCGTTGTACAAGGTGACCCACTCAATTAGAAACGTTCGTATAGTTTGATGTTCTATCAAAAGTATCCGACGAAAATAACAGCGGGCCGCGGGCAACCATTCAGCGAATTAATTAAAGTTTGCCTTATCTTCTACAATACGGCAAGGTCACCTTGAAAATACCCGAAACGCTCGAACGACCATCGAATTTACTTTACCCCTTTCGCGTTCCATTACCCGGAGCTTCGAATCGAACAATCGTGAATCAAACTAAAATTAGAATCTACGGGTACACACACAGCGACGAACGTAACTGCACTTTCAGTTGACGATGAAAAATTGTCGATACGTAACTTCGTAAATGTGGATCGTATAACGTCTTTACTTCAAAAGTAAAATCAGATGTTTTTTTCTTTTGGAAAATGATTTTAAAGATTTTGAAGATGATCACATAGCTTCTCAACTTGTGTTTCATAACTATAAATCTACCATGCTCTCGAAAGTTCGAATTTTCTCTTAACAATAATCTCTACTTAAAACTCGTTGTACGATTTTTATTGAACGTGGAACATTGGAATTAAATAATGAGACGTAATGATTCCTCGAATTTTTTTCTATAACCCCATTCAATGTTCAATAAATGGTTTATATTTCGATATTATATAATACTCGATAATATTCAGTGTTCGATAAAATGGTGAGAAGAATATCGTTGCAACAAGTTTCAAGAGATCGTTGAAAGGGACAGCTCCAATCTTCGGAGGACGAAAAAAATTGTCTCAATGTTCTTACACACAAGTTTAAATCTATGCGATTCTCTTGAAGATTAAGCACCCTCGTTTTTCCATTCGCTGAACGAAAAAACGAACTCGTTTCACGCTACAAAATCAGATCAAGCGGCTCGCCGTACGGATCCTCTTTTTCACAAAGTTACACGTCAGTTTAAATAATCGACAAATTTTCATCGTCGTTGGCACGGTTACGCACGGTTTTCGCGCCTCGCTAATCGGATAACGAGAGTCTCATAATGATCGCGAATCGAATTAAAATTAGAATCTAGAGGGTATATAGGTTTGCAGCACGTTGCATCGAGATGATTGCTCGCGCAACGTATAGATAAAGGAAATGTCAAGGTGATGCGTGACACTGCCATTTATATCTAACGTTGTTCGCTCTCAGCTCTACGTAGAATATCGTGATGAAGAACTGGCGCCGCGTTAGGGCACTTCCGGGTGATTACACAGCGTTTAGGATACAATAATACAAGCTCGCGGCTGTCGCGTAATCGCGTTAAGCTAAAAATCAATATTGCCCCAAGAACGTACGAAGAACTTTGCTGTAATTCCTCCCACACGGTATGAAATAGCTGTTTTAATGGTTGACAAAGTGTTGTTCGTTTATACGAGATCGTGACACAGGGAAAATGAACGAACCTGACGCAACTCGATACAACGTGATTTACGACGATTACGAAATTATTTGAAGTGCTTGTCGTTAACAAAAATTTGTCAAAAATAACGCCACTGGATATTCGGTGACGTATAAATTGACTTCCACGAAAGGAACTAGGTTCTGTGATAAATTTTTTCGTCTCGTCTGTTTCGTTCTTTGACAATATTAAATATTCATGGTAAAAAATGTGACGAACAATGTATATATATAAAATCCATCCACGTTGAATAAAAATACTTATGATAAGCACTTTTAATTGTATATAGAGAGAAAACGAACGCTAAATATTTCAAATGTGATGCGAAATTGAAAATATACACAATGTGACACGAAATTGAAGATACAACGTAATATAGAATATTTAAAATACCAAATTGTCAAAGAATCATTTACTATCACTTTACGCGGGAAATATTGGACTTTTGATCGATGAACCATTCAGGTGTTATCGAAATATTTAACAATCGTTTCAATACTTGATAATAATTCGGAGAAACATTAATGGTAAATTAAATATATTTTATTATTCAATAAACATAAATTGAATATCAAAATTACACAATTCAGAGACCGTAGAAAAATACACGTATCACATGCATTAGCTTGATTAAAAAAACGAGACTTTCAAAGTTGCTTAATTTATCAAATGATACAGATTAATTTCTGTCATTTATGGTGCAAACGAACTTATTACAATACTCATACTGAAACCAATATCAGAGATCGCGATATTAATGAAATTTCGAAGATTTCTACTAAAAGCTACTGTACAAAAAAAAAAAAAAAAGTCCCGCGGAAAGAAAATTCAGCGTGTTTCTGTCGCTTGACAGCTGCGAGTATCAAGCGTAAACAAAATTTACGTAATCGTCGTTATAAATGTGGCTCGCGTGCCAAATCGTTTCGAATGCCAGTCGGTCGTTCGTGCGAATCGATGAACACTTCACCGCGATGCTACGACTTCTACGATTTCTACAACTGTTTATTGTCTTCTCTCTAATAATCTAAAATGACGTGAATCGCGCGGTGTTGTTTCGACGAAGAAGAAGAAGAAAAATCGTCGCGACGTCGTGGATATTTCCACGGTGTTGCAAACGGCTTGCGCCGAGGATAAGTTAAGCCCTGCTCCCGAAATAAGTTACACAAGGATTGCGCAAGAGAAGTGCCTCAGAACGCGAGCGACGTTGGTTTAATTGGCCCCATCCTTGACTTTTCGATAATTATGCAGCCCGAAAACGCGACCGCAAACAGAGATAGACTTTGTATCGGGCAAGGATTTCGAGTTTCGCGAGCGGCCACCTGTTGATGAGCAGAGATCTCGTTCCCTCAACTTTGCTCCTCGGCGACCCGCGCTGAACTCGGCAGAATACGTGTTCATCCCGAAGCTGGATCGAGAAAATATGGCTATTTGATCCCTTGACGACTGATATCGCGTGAAATGAAAATTTCACTGTTCGCAGTCCGAATTGGGCGAAAAGATCGAAAAGAAAATGTCAAAACGCTTGTCACATTTTCTTTGGAACTCCGTCTTAATTCACAAGTGGACTAATTTAGTTGAATTAATTAAATCGATAACTGTTGTATCACGTGCACGAGTGTTGTTCTCATTCCTAGAATCTCTGTTTTAATAATCCTCGAGCGGACTATTAAATTAATTGAGTTACACTGGTCGAAGATTTGTGTAATTCTGTAACGATGCAGGAGAAATTTTATATCTATTTGGTGTAGATCAAACGCAATTAAAATTGAAAGTTCAGTCAAGAATTGACAAGAGAAAGAAATTGTTATTGATCATATTTATGTAAAGTTTATGTAAAGCATATTTATGTAGAAAAAAACACTATATAGAGTGCGATAGATTTTTTTCTAAGAACAACACTGACAAACGTAACTGTCGTCAAAGGGTCAAGAGTACACATTTTCCAGACACAATCGCGACTTGGAACGAATTGGAACGAGCGTCCCGCTCGTTCAGTCTCATTCAGGAGAACTGAATTAAAAATTCAAATTTTAATCACGTTCGAATTTAAATTCGAATTATTTCAAAGTAAATTTCAATTGGAGCGCGGGGGACTGCCCCGTTCGAGGGTTGTTAATTGAATCGCACGGAAATTGAGTTCGAAGTTTAATTGTATTTGTTTCTTTCCTTTCTCCCCTCCCCCACAACTCCTTTTTAACGAATTATCGATCGAGAGAGAGCGAGGTGTACTTACTCGGTCATCCTGCTGGCGAAGTTGGTCGATGTGTTGATGTCGTACCACGTCATGTCCTGTCTGAGAACGGCGCGCAGGAACATCTTGCGGACCCGAACGATCTGCCTGGAGGCAGCGATGTTCAGCAGGTCGACCGTGAACACGGCGAAGAAGAACTGGAAGGTGGACAACGCCGCGGAGGACACGCCAAACGCGACCGAGTCGTCGTACAGCGCGTTCATCCTCTCTTCGTACGACGCTTCCGGTCCCCTGCAATCACGAACGCCTCGTTTGCCTAATCGTTCGTTTTCTCGAGAAAACTTGTCGGGTCGAAACGGGGAATATCCACAGCGCAGAATTACGAAACACGGAACGATAACCAGACGTACAGTTATAATAATACATTTCCCTCGAGCGATCTATTTTCTCGTCAACGTGCAACGTGTAACGCTCCTCGGCGGAAGTACACGCGGGGGCGTGCACGCGACTCTCTCTCTCTGTCTCTCTCGCGTCGCGGTACGCGCTAAAAATATACAGGGTGAGTCTCGTAACGTGACGACATCAAATAACTCGTAAAATATTTGTTGTACGAAAAGATGTTTCAGACAGAAGTTGCACGGCTCCCAGGGATACATATAGTACTGTAATCAGTTTTATTTTACGTTCTTATCAAGACACGAAGGTCGCCTTCAATTTTTTAAATGCAATAGCTAATATTTCTTCCCGAATTCGGATAAAGCGTTGGATTTTACATGAAAAAACTTTTATGTTATTTTGCTTTCCTATCAGGGCGTGAAGGTCACTTTCAATTTTTTTAAATGGAATTAAATGGCTAATATTTCTTCCCGAATTCGGATAAAGCGTTGGATTCTACATAAAAAAAACTTTTATGTTATTTTGCTTTTCTATCAGGGCATGAAGGTCACTCTCAATTTTTTAAATGCAGTAGTTGATATTTCTTCCCGAATTCGGATAAAGCGTTGGATTTTACATGAAAAAACTTTTATGTTAATTTGCTTTCCTATCAGGGCATGAAGGTCACTCTCAATTTTTTAAATGCAGTAGTTAATATTTCTTCTCGAATTCGGATAAA